TTATTCTATATACACTCTTTTATGACCTTTATCATTGAGGTATTTGAATGCTTTCTGATAGGAAAGTAAGAGACTGCAAACATTTTTTCTTATATTTCCCCTTACAGAATAGAGTAGGTATTGTGACCTCTTGTTTCCAGTTTTATTCTTTTTTTTTACCGTGAATGTTGCAGTGTGTTTGGTGAGGGTTTTTTTGATTTTGGGTTGGTTTTTTTTTTTTACCTTAGCCTGAATGAAGAGCAAGGATATGCTCTATTTTTCCATTCTTCCCTTGATATTTGTAGTGGAAATAATAATATGAAATAACCTATGAGAAGATGGTTCAGAAAGCTGCTTGTAATGGACAGTCCACTAGACCTGCACTGTGGAAGGCTTGCAAAGTAGGCTGCATGAAACATTGCTGGGCTTTGTACCCAAAACTGTTGGCTAAAATCTTTAGAGTTCCTAATATATGTAGGCTTTCAAGTCCTATTTTCGAAAGTGGTCTAATTGATTTGAGTGCCCACAGGCCAGATTTTGCTAAAGATACTGTGAATTAAGTGCTTGGATACTCTCTCAAAACTGTTTTTCTATTTGGTATATAGAAACTTGAGCTATACATTTATGTTCAATAGTACTGGGAGAGGAAGCCCACTTCCTCTGGAAGAGCTGAGGGAGCCCTCAGCTGAGTGCTTTCCCTCTTCTGACAGGATTTGTTGTGTGGTAGTTCACAGTGCTGGCCCCTTGGCTACCTGTTACCTGTGAAGAGGTCTGTCCTCAACCACATGTAGTAAAAGCATCAGTGTGAGGCTCTGCTGGTCCTCTTGCTGCCCCAGTAGGAGTGTTGGTGCTGAGTTCCAGGACCAGTCATTATTTAGACCAACAGTCTCGTTAGTTCAGGTACCTCAAACATTTGGAACACTAAATGTCTTAAAAATTTGTGAAGTCCATTTTAAAGTAAGTATATATGAAAATTATATGTTTTATAATTACACTTTAATTAATAAGAAATTAAGGTGTCTAAAATAAGGTTATGATAACCTCTTGTGTGCCACTGAACCGAGATAACTGAGTGTTTTAATTTCAATTAAAGTTCATAGTCCTTACTAATGGATCCATTAGCTTTTTGCAAAATGCCACATGTTGATCTCATGGAAAAATCAAATAGTCAATATAGGAAGCATGGTTGCTTCACATCATAGTTGCTTTATCAGAAGACTTACTGACTAACTCCAGTCAGAGGCCTAATTCTACATTGAGACTCATCCTGTATTTTTTTATTTTGTATTTTTACCCTTACCAAAGCAAAAAGACTCCTGCAGAAACACCTGCTATTGAACTGCATTGCAAAATTCAAAGTTTTATCAATCTAAGTTCTGTTCTTTTATAGTCCAAAATGTGTGAGCTATTATTTATCTAAAATACAAGTTTCACATCAACAGTCTTTGTATCCTTCCTTTTTCTTTACTGTGAAGCCATTTGGCAGAGAGCAGTCTTCTATTGGAAGTGTATCTGTGATGCAGTTGTTGTTTGTTAGTGGTGGGAAAGGAGGTTTTTATTAAATTTGGTGGCTCAAATTCAGCCAGCAGACTTTTATTTTAGCTTTGAGGTCAAAGTGAATTTTCACTTCATTTTCAGCAAGGAATTTTTAAGGTTTGCAAGTGATGGCAATTTTGTTCTTCTTCCTGTGCTGTAAGCTACAGTTTACTGTGCCTTTTGTTTTGTCAAGAATATTTAGAAAGAATAGCTTTCAGTCACTGCAAATCGATACCCAGTTCATTGGGATACATGAACAAGTTAACTAAGCAGGCTGCTCTTGACAGCAATAACTGGGGCTCAAAACCATCAGTGTTTAGAAGTAAAATCACTGTGGAAAACTTACACTTCAGGACAGGGCTCAAGGAGAGCTTGAGCTTCCCTCTGTGTGAATGTCTTTGGTTGCTTCTGACTTTATGGCACAAAAATGGAAGTCACCATGAGTTTGATGCTTCTGCTTTAGTAACGGATCAATGTTATGGTCAAATCCAGAATTATTATCCAATAGGCATTTATTTAGTGTTTTACAACGGCTACTATGTGAGAAAACTATAATTTTTGCTACTGTCCAATTTTGATTCAGTGTTTACATTCTAGTAGAGAACAGGCTGCTTCAGTTTAGCTACTCTGTCCCCTTTTTTGTTACCTATAGATGATGCTTTAAAAAGTTCTGGTACAATTAATCCTTAGCTGTCATTTCTTATTTGGATCTTATAGCTTGTTGTTGCTTTGCTTTACATTGTCTCTGTGCTTTCCTTTAGTCAATATGAGAAATTCTGAAGTTTTTGTGGGAGAAACTTGTGGTATCTTCACACTAATGCTGGAGGGGTATAACTGTTTCCTTCTGTCTACAGTCTGTAGCTTTTCTTTTTATTTAGTCAAGCTCCCCTTCTTTCGCAGTTGAGAGTAATTGCAAATAAGCAGCCAGTGTCAAACCTTCTAAAACTCCTGCCGTATTTACTGATTGTAGTAGGAATGTTACCAACAGTTCCTGAAATCTCTTGGGACACCTTCTGCACGTTTTATCCATGGTTTGTTTGTGGTTTGTTTTTTTGTTTTTTGTTTTTTTTTTCTCTGTCTATGTAAAATGTGTTGGGGCAATTTTCTCTAGGAGGGCAGAGGGATTGTACTTAGAGAGCAGGGAAGGTGTCAACTCAAGGTGTGGGTGAAAGACTTGCCACTCAGTATGGAGACCTGTGGTTCCAGGAAATATTTTTGTTCTTCAGCAGCTCTAGGCACCTCAGACATAGCTCTTTATGTGGAACTCAGTGTGTCACAAACCCAAAATTTTCTGGGTGTTAAGATTGAGACTAGTCAGCTACCCTTCTGCATAAGACTTACTTGTGTTTTCTTAGTCTTACAGTTGAGCTTTTATCCACCGTATAAACTCATCTATTTTCACGCACCCCATATACACTTCAGCTGTAGGGAACTCACCGTGCATCCATGGTTTCTGAGCTCTTGCTAGTTTGCTCTGTACAGTAAATAGCACAGGTGAGTGGCTTTTTTGGGTGGATCCCCTTAGTAAGATAGTGTTTCTGGTGGCAGCAGATTCTCCATTTATTTTAAACTTGCCTGTCAGCAGGTGTTCGACAGGAGGGACCCTAGCAATGAGGAATGGACCTTTACAGGCTTGCCTTGGTAGTTTGAGCTGTGCAGCTTGATAGATGCTGAAGGCTACCCCCCAGCAGAATGCTAGCCAGCCAGCTGTGTGCCAGATGACAGCACAGCACCCAGCTGCATGCAGCCATCTCACGTGAGACACTATTAAATAAAATCCTGTGCTACTGCCACTTCCTTTAGCTGAAAGTGTCTGGGGTGTGTGTTAGGTGCTGGTGCATTTTTTTGAGCAGTCCAGTGCTCATGACAACTGTCTGAAGATAAAAAGACATTTGGAAGGGGGGAATGGGTTTAAATAGGCTGATTCTGCAAACGTGGAAAAAAAATTCATAGTAATGCTTTCCATATTTGGAGCTTATGCTTAGGAAAAGATGTAAGCATCATTCCTTAGGATAGCCCCAGTTCAGTGTATGAAATTTCCTTGAAAAATGTGCTTTGTTTCCTTAACGCTATAATATTCTTGCTATCTGAATGTATTCTCTGTGTCAAATCATTCTGTCTTACCTCAGAAAAAACTGCCCGTGATTTCAAAGGGAGTTTTGCCTCAGGTAGGGCTTGCAACATCAGGACCAGGAATTAGTGTAATGTGACCCACCATTTGTATTGCTTTGGGGTAAATTTAAGAGAGAAGATTTAACATTGTGTGTGTCATGCTGAGATATTGCAATATCTCGGATGGGTTATTAGGCACCAATCCAAAGGTTAAGTGCAGCAACCACATGAGATGTGGCTTTATCCTTACGTGATCTATGCCTGTGTCCTGTTTTGTAGTCCCCTGAAACAGGTATTATCCCTAGAATAAAACAACATTTTTTAAGACTTTGTTGAAACCTATCCCAAGCTATTAAATGTAGTTTCAGTAGAAAAGTTTGTGCATATATGTCATTTGAAATTTAGAAATCAATCCTTGTATGTGTGAACTCACTGAAATTTTGAATCTGGATCCTAGTGTGCACCAGATAAATACTCACGACCTTTGGGAAAGTATAGATATGAATTTGCAGTTTAGGACCTTTTCTAATTTATATGCATATATTTTTGGGGGGTTTTATTTTCCATGCTGTTTTTGCTTGGCTTGCATTAAATAAAATGCTTCAATGGAGTGTGGTAGTCTAGCATTTGTTTTGCCTCAGGAGTAGATTGCCCCATCTTGCTTGCATATCTGGTCAAGTAAATTGCTCTCTTGCCTGCGTAGTTCAATAACAGTACTGGGATTTAGACCTTCCTGTACAACCCCCCAGTGAGCAGAACCACAAAGGGCTGGGCCTGCGTGGTACCAACAGTCTTCTCTATTGTAATGGATGCATTCATCTCCTATTTACATAAATTAATAGTTAAAACTTGTTTGGTTGCTTAAGAAAACTCATTAAGCTTTGAGAGTAGCTGTATTATGAGCACTGTGGCAATCGCTCCTATTGGCTTATCACCTGCTGGTTCACTGGGAACCAGTCCATCTCGGGGTCAGGTCCCTAAGCTTTGTTGCAGAATTAAATAAATAGCATTTAAAAGAAAATGCAAATAATCTGTTCAGTGCAAAGTGGATGCTGGGGAACTTCTTACGAAAAAGGAGTCATGTTTAAAATTTTTAAAAATAAAATTATATTTTTGTTTGAAAGGCTAATTTTTGCTCAGGAAATAGATCATATTTTTTATCCATTTTCTACTAGTCACTGGAGAATGTTTGACATTGTAAGAGAAAGGTCAGTTTGTATAAGCTGAAGTGGGAGGGGAATGCACAATGTGAAAACCTGGACCAGATTTGTTTTGTTGTTATTATTAATTGAATGTTTTTCTTCCCCTTTTTAATTTATCATCTTCAGTATATGGTTTTTATTCTTCTTTATTTCTTCTCTGTTTTTGTATAGATTGGAGAGAGAGAGCATTCAGCAGAGCGTTAGCAATGAAGCAAAGGCCCAAGCCCTTCAGGCCCAGCAAAGAGAGCAGGAGCTGACACAGAAGATGCAGCAAATGGAGGCCCAGCATGAGAAAACTGGTAGGTGGTAGGCAAAGATTAGAGCCTGGGCACTCACTCACAAGCCAGGCCCACGCCTTACTGTGAAATGACATCAGGAACACCTGTAACCTTTGGCTGGCCGAAGGGAGCAGATGCTAACTACACCGGAGATTCCGAATTACATATTAGTTAGCGTTTAAAAGAGAAAATGGAAAGTATTGCCCACTGTCTGTTGATTTCAGGGTGCTGCTCTCACATCTGTTGCACCATCTGGATTATGAGTTTATTTACCTGTGTTCAAGAAATGTAAAGCTGAGAGAGACCACAACAAAGTAGAAAAACAAAGGGCTTGTTTTTGGCTGGATTTTCAGGCACACATGTTATATAAAGAAAATAGCATCAGAAGCTCTGCGGGAAATGCTCTGAGCTTACAGTTAAAGTCTCCTGAATAGCATTGAACAGTTCCCACAGTACACACATTATAGCTACTCTAAAAGCTTAATGAGTTTGCTTCGGCATCCAAACTGGAGAAAAGCTTTAGCCATTAATCGGTTCTTAATTCACTGTCGCAGCTGGATGTAATTCACTGGCTCCAAATTGATATGTTCCTTTATTTAATCTTTGCAGCCTCAAACATTTTTAGCATTACCATGTGTCCCCCCCACACACACCCTCAATCTAGAAGAAAAATGTTTAATCTCTTGCATACTTCAGGTTCTCATAATAGGAGACTTCATTGCATGGACTTAGCTGATCAATAACATCTAACCTTTAATCTGGAAATAAAATGGGTTTTCCAAACAAACAAAAAAAGCCTTATGTTATTGTGAAGTGCTATGCCAACAACATCAATAAAGGTGCATATTATAAACAAAAAAATAAATTTTTAGAGAGGAAATCTCTCACCCCTGAGCATGGAAAGGAGGAGGAGCTTCAGCTCTTATGGAACATGGTATATTCATATGTTTGACAAAATACCATTTTTATCCACTAGTCTTGCAATACCGTTAGAAAAATGATGCAGCGTGCATTAATCCTAAGCAGTGTCAGATGATACCTGAGGTGGCAGGCACATTTACATCTGCCGTCTGATTGTCTGCCTTTTTTGCTGCATTATCGCAGTACTGGAGGACCTTTCCATGTGTTCAGGGAATGCAAACAGCTACTTTGTGGCTGCTGTCTACACAGTAGGAAAGAAGAAAAGAAGCTCTCAGAATCATTTTTCACTACTCTAGCCAGCATATCTGCATATGATCAAGTGTAATTTTGCACAAGAGATGTGTAATTTAACCTCCTGATGCATAAATTGTCCCAATATACAAAAATGAAACGGCATGATGCCTGAGGTTGATTTTATATATCTCTAGCAGGATTAGAAGGAGTTGAAAATTATAATCATTTATTATGTATGTGAAGAAAACCTTGTGTATTATGACCCTACACACATACAAGGAATTTGGGTAACAGTGGTCTCTCTCTGATTTTAAAAGGAGAAATCAAGAAACATCATTTTGTAATATCTTCCTGTTGAAAGAATAAAGATCCTTGATTTCTAGGTCGTGAGTTTTGGTGCAGGCCAAACTGATAGGAACTGAAAATTAATTTATAAACTGGTTTCACTGCAGCTGTCACTGGACAATAAGTCTATCTTATCATTAAAGAAAAAAAAAAATACGTTAATCATAATAAGCGTGAGACCCAGTAAATAAAAGAACTGCTTTTTTAAGGAAAGAATGAAATCAGTGTCAGTGTTTGGATTGTCAGCGTATCCTCTGCACCAGTTCAGCAAGCAAAAGGGTGCTAAGGCATGGCTTGCCAATTTCATTCCTCCCAGAAATGTCAATGAACTTCCAGCTACAAGGCAAAACCACCACATTAGATATGTAGTCTCTGTGGTGATTCTTCTCATACAAGACATGATCCAATGGCAACATCACTTTAACACTTCAGGCTAGCTTATTCTGACACAGAACCTTTATTTGGTGAATGATGATGATGTAATTCCATTTCCAAGTGGCTTGGTAAGTTTAAAAAACATACCAAAAACCAGAAGGATCTAGGGGAAAGAAATTAAAAATATATAAAATTGTTTCTAAATTAACTGTAAATTTATATAATTGTAAAATAAATTTATAGTTTTATAATTTTATAATTTTTAGTAAATGAACTGGATTCGTTGCTGAGCTCCCAGAATACATTCATAGCAAAATTAAAGGAAGAATGTTGTATGTTGGCAAAGAAGTTGGAACAAATGTCAGAAAAATACAGGTTAGTATCTTTTTCTTATCCTTTCCCTTTTACCATTAGAACATACTGCCTTATTTTTTAATTTGTATTTTAATATTTATTATTATTCATCTTGTCCCAGGTATTACACATGATCTCAATATAATGTATGCCACTTAAGAAATTTTGATGGATTTTTATCCAGGGTAATTCTAATTTTCTGTTTTTTAGATTATGTTGCTGACTATTACTTCAAATTTCTTAGACATTTCTAATGTAAAAATTGCATACTATTTTCTTCCGGATGTTTATATTCTTAATATGAAGAGTGGAAAATTGTTAAGAGCTACAATTCAAGTTCATCTGAAATTATATTAAAAATACTAAGTATTTATAGTTCTCAAAACTGTAGTCTGTTGGTTTAATTATTTACTTAAAGCTCCATTCACAATACTACACACTGAATAATTATCTCTGAAATAATTGTTGTCAAAATTGTCTGTCATTGAAGCTTTGATTCCACCACTGCTTGTTATGTGGTGTTCTTGTTAAAATCAATAGCAGGTCTAAATACAAAGTCATTAAAAATTCAGGAATAAAGCAAAATCTGGAAGCAAGATTTTTAACTGGTTTAAATAAATACAAAAATATGAAGGTATCTATTTAAAAGTTCTATAGGACAGGACTTCTTTAAAAAAAAACCAAACCTATGAATTTTGTAGTTCTATACCAGTAAATAGTTTGATTTTATGTGTTTAACTGTGAAAATAGTCTCCATTGAAACTTTCTGCAGGGTTCATATTTTGAGTACTAAATAGGATTAAGTGGTGAGTTGGCATTCTCCAACTTCTGTAAATTTCATGCAAAGTGAATTTGATAATTAAGGGTAGGATTCATCTCACATGGCTTATGTAAAGTAAGGAAAACACTCAGCAAAGATAAAGTTGGTTTTCAAGGTAGGATTCTTCTCCTACTGGGTGGATTTAATCATCCCATTGAGGTAACATAACAGGGGCAACACTCACGCAGGGAGAGCACTTATGTATCCCAGTATCCTGTTTCCAGCAATGGTTGAAGAGGGATGATATAAGTAGATGACAGGCATATATATATATATTAAAAAAATGGTGCTTCCCACAGGTACTGCCTCCACTGCCCATCCTACTTTCCACTGCATACAAAGTGTTGACTAGCTGTTAAGTGGCTGAAGTTGGGAGATGAATCCCATCCAGAGTATTTGGGGAAGAAATGAGAAACTTGAGGAAATGTAAGCAATCTTCCCTTGCAAATGTTGTGATGGGTACTTGAGAGAGAAGCAAACAGACTTTTTCTTCTGAAAAAGCAGAGCTCCTCTGCTAAAGTAATACAAAATCTAAATAGATTCAAATCATATTATTATTCCAGCAATAAAAATGCACACAGACTTTGTTGCTAGAGCTCACAGTCACAGACTAGTAACTGTAAAAGGATGAAGGAAAGACAGAAAACATACTGTGAAAACACATTATTCTCTGAAAATAAATACCAGAGATTGCCAAGTGTTTCTCCACCTAGCAGCATTAGCTGACTATGTCAGGAACCTGAAAAAGGGAAAAGAAGCCTTCTTGGATCTCCAGAAAGTGGTATATTTTGCACAAGAAACAGTATGGAAGAATGTAGAAACAGTATGGAAGAGTGTATGAAAGCAGCTCTGAGAAGTGGCCCTAAAATAGCTTGAGCTTGCCTTCATGGAGAGAGAGCTGCTGCAGTCAGTAACAAGAATGGAGAAATAGGTAGGGACAAAGAAAGCATGTGAAAATGAGAGCAGAAAGGTGGAACTGGAGCCGGTGGAAAATGGTAAACTAATAGATGGCTTCAAAAAGTGATGTAATCAGGAGATCAGATGTAGAAAATTACTTTGGCAAAGTTTAAAATGCATGATGAGTCTATATCTTTCAGTAGCATGTATCCAAAAGGCAATCTTCACACTCATTGTCACTGGATGTGGTGTAAAACCACAATTCTGGGACAGAATGGTGTAGCTTCTTCTTCTGAAAAAAATTAATAATTTATTGAAGATTTTATAACTTAGTTCTTATGTACATTAATAAAACCAGACCATGAAGCAGCAGTGGGTGCTATTTGCATGGAAAAGGTTTTTTTCCATGGTTTTTTCCATGGTTTTGGCCTTATCATGAACTGAATTTTGGACCTGGATGTGTGTTTTCTTGCTATAGTTATAGCATCTTTGTCCCTTCACTTCCTTGGGGTTATGAAATAACTGTATTCTAGCAGTGCCATTATTTGACTGATAAAACACTCAAGCTTTTTTAATAACAGATGCAAGACTAAGTTTATATAATTTTTTGGGGTTATGATAGGAAGTAAAGGGCCCATTTGTAATAAGAGCCATTTCCAATTTATCTGTGACAGCTACATATTTGCACAATTTCAATGGGATGGCTCTGAACTGCACATGAAGTTTTATATTTAATACAGATTTTCTGAGAAATCTAAACTGAAGTTATCTTGTTTATATGTAAGATGGAACCACTTTTGTGAGCTAGCCCCTACAAAGGATTAGAAAAGCTTCAGGAAGACAATGTCAGACAAATTATAAACCCCTCAATCTGTGCAGAAAGAAGATAGGGTCTGCGAAGGTTTTTGTATGCATAGGCATGTTTAAAAATATAGTCCTTTGTTGCTTTCTTCTCAGTTATTTTGTTCTTTTTTTTCTTTTTTTTTTTTCTGTGATTGTCACTGTCTGAGTTTCTAGGTTGTAGATTAATGCTTAACACTACCCACTGTGTATTTGTGATTTGCGTTTTGTAATTAAGGGGAACAATGGGAGTCCATTGGGTCTCGTTATATATAATGGTTGGTTTAATTTGTTTCACTTCTATCTTGTTAATTGTAAATTGATCATTAAGATTTGAATTCTAATCTGTCACCAGGGTTGTGAGTATTGAAGCTAGAGCAATGATCCTGGTTTTAATCACTGATGATGAGAAACAAATTTTATAATTTTGGTACATATTGCAGTTCATATATTTTAACACTGTATTTTATGGTGTTATAAATATTGTTAAATGACTTTTAGTGTAGTTTTACTGTTTGGACTATAATGTATAAATTATATTACTGGTTTGGCAGCTGTAGGCATCCAACTGTGTGAGTTTAATTGAAGTAAAGAACACACACCCGGCTGAACTATTTTTCTGCATGTTTGGTTGACTGCAGTCATTGTGCTCAATACCAGGAGTGAAATGTTTGTTGAAGGTAGCCGTACGAAGATGTGGAACAGTCTGTCTGAAGGATCAGTCACTACAATTATATGCAACAATACTGTGTCAGCAGAAAATATTTTAGAGCATATATTTAATTGCTGTACAAGTAAACAATTGGTTTTAAAAGTAGCAAAAGGCTACTTAAAAAGTGCTGCAATGCAAAAGGTAGTTCAGAGAAAAGGCAGCATTGCCACTTTAGTGTTCAAAAGTCAGCTCATCCTAAAAATATCCTAAGACTGACTTTGAATTGTGGCTATTTAACATTTGCTGGTTCTTTGCCTGTTTGGATGATCTGGAGGAACGAGGTTTGTTTTTTGGGTTTTTTTTTTTCCAAGACTCTTCCAGCAAAGATGGTAGATAAAAGCTTAAATTTCTTTTTAAATAGAAGTTGAAGCTTTCTTGGTAGCTGAATAGACCCAGAAGAATAGAGGGGTTTTTTGTTGTTGTCCCTGTCCTCCCCTCAGTCATCATCAATTATTTTTAATATAGTGACAAGGAAATGAGATTTTTGCAAAATCTCTTAGCCATTTACTTACAAGCATGCATTTTAAGTTTTCATTTTCCTGCGACGTTGTAGCTTCGCTCTGTGCAGTTTCAAAAGAATATTGATTTGATACAGGTCTTTTGAGTCTATCAGATCTCAGAACCACACACAGATGCATTAACACAACTGTATGTCTTGTGGGGCCAGCCTGAGTCTGCAGAAGTGTAATTACAGGTCATCTTTGACAGGTAATAATGAAGACTCTTGGTGTGCAGTCTTGTATTGAGATTGGTGTCCTCTCTTTAATGCTGACACACGTGAACCTTTTAACATTGACCTTAATAGACATTCTGCCCTTCATGTGTGCTGTCCTCCAACATCTCAGTGTTTAGTTGGAAGGGACATTGTGTAAATAAAATTCTACTGGATTTTTTATTTTTTTTTTGGTGAGTTCAACTGTAATTTTAGAAGAGAATGCAAGTAACATGGTTCAGAGCAGCAGGCATTTAGAGCAGTATTTTAGAGATTAGAGATCATGCTACTCATGTTTTCAATTAATTCAGTGCTTTCTTTTGTGTCATTAATTGTAATTTTCAGTAGCATTTTGGTTGATTTGAATCCTTTGATCTTTCCAGAAAGATGTTGGGCACCTTCAGGTGTGCTGGAGATTAATAAGTCCCTTTAAAACTTTGAGATTTTTATCACCTTGAAAGTTGCTTCTGCTGTTTCTATGAATGAGACAGCCACATATAAATACAGAAAAAGAAGCGGGATCCCCCAGTTGGGAAACCCTACAAACATGATAATTTACACTATTCCCACGTGGCAAGGCTGTTGTTGCATTTTGCTGGCAAAAAAAAAAGGAACGCAATCTTGAATTTAGTCCCTGTTACCACTTGGCTGGGATTTGTTGCACCAGGTCTGTGTTGAAGGCGCTCTGTGGTGGAACCTTCGCTTTTATCCACTGTTTGTCTTTCTTACAGTATCAGTCCCAAGTCCAGACTGCATTCATACTGTGTGGTAACACCTGGCCCAACTGACAGTGCTTTGTTAATGCTGATATTTAGGTGACTAATACTTCTGTGAAATGATGGGTGTAAAAATTTGACTCCAGTTACCTTCCTGTAACATCCTGCTTGCTGCTATGTACCTGTCCAGGAAATTCTTGTGCTTTTAAGTTTGATGTTCAAATACATCAGCACAGTTCTGATGCATTTGTCAGTGATGTTCCTTAATAGAGACATAACTCCCTATCTAAATTCAATTACATACAGTCTTCTTCCAAAGTTTCTCTTGCTAAGTTCTTTTAGATTCACAGATGATACCATGTATTGTTCTCTATTTAAAGATGAAAAGATTATGTTGTCTTTTACAGATTTGACTTTTCAGTGTAACAACATGTTTTGGAGGGAGGAGTATTCCTCCCCCCTGCGCTTTGTTGTGTTTTTCAGAATGTCAGTTGTTGTTGCATTCTCTAACAGCCAGGAAGGTAAAGTATCTTTCTGCTGTTACTGCAGCATATTTAAGTTTATGATTTAAAGATATCTCTGAAGCTTTTTAACCTCAAGATCTGGAGTGGCAGATGCCATAAAACAAATTTGCTTGCTTTTGATTCTTACTTTCTGATGGTATAGCAGATTCTGACATGTTCTCATTAACCTTTTCCAAAGAGTTAAACTGTACAAGTGCATAATGGATATTTTATCACAATTTAATCTGAGATCTTTTCCTGATATTAAGAAACAGCTCATGCCTGTGTCTCCATGGGCTGATGGTTAGAGATGTAGCAAGTAGTAGTCCCAGGTCATTTGTGGATCTGGTGTCTCTGCTCACCCGTGAAGAATAAGAATTGCTATAAGTGACTAATTTTATTAAATGCTGTGCTGAGTTTTATGTAGATTAGGGTGTGCCTGTGTGATTTGTCCCTTGTTGCTTAAGGTTTTATCAATTTTCCTTTTAATGTGTTGTTTCTTCAGTGTTTTGTATTTTTTTTTTAATCTGTGTAATGGTATTTTGGGCATATTAGGTTAATAGAGTTTTTAAAACAGTACCACTAGTGAGAGTTCAACCTGTACAGTGCAGTAAAGGTTGAAGAAATTTTTAGTAGCCATTTTTTAAATTGGATTAGCTTTTAATAATAAAGAACTTGAAATGTGTTTTCAAAATTCTGGCCAAATTCTTGCTTAACAAGTATGGATTTACATTTATTGATCTTATCTAACATCAATGCATAATGCCAAATGATACGCCTGTTTAAATTGGGCTGAAATTAGCATATCCGACCTATGACTGAGTGATTGCCATTATATATATTTACCAGATACCCTTCATCGTTGTGTTCTCTTGTCTTAAGAATATTTGAAAGTATTTTGTTTCTGTAAGTTCTAGTAATAGCCTGTTTATGCATTACATATACATGTATGAAATTTTATAAGTGCTGAAGCCACATATTGATGGCACGCTGCAGGATGAAATCTGACAACATCCATCATCACTGTGTTTTACTTCTCTAGATCTGAAGTCAACCAGCTTAGTCAGGAAAAAGCATATCTTCATGGCAGATTGGAGAAGATGCAGAAACGGAATGATGAATTGGACCAACAATGTATTCAGCATGGGAGAATGCATGAGAGAATGAAGTCGAGGTAGGAGGTCCTGTTAATCTGTCCGTATGTGGTATGCTCTACTGTACCTGTTGTATTGTGTAAATATAAAAATGACATCAGGTTGTTTGAAAGTAATATTATTTCCTTATGAAAATGACCATCCCTTCCCCCTCCCCAAGCATTCTGTCAAGTGTTTTTTATAACATCTTTTGCTTGTGCCATTTTCAATAAATAAAAGGAAAGCTTGAACAACATAGTCTTCCAAAGAATTTAAGCTTAGTACATATGTGTGTGGGCTGCTTCGGCTGTTCTCTGCTCTAACTTGGATGAATTGTCTTACCATATTAAAAAAAAAAGGGGGGGGGGGGGGGGGTGGGGGGGGGGGGGGAATGCTGGGTGAGGAAGGAGAAAGGAGGTTATTCAGCAATATGAACGTAGAGTACGGATGTGGATTCTGTTATGCCCTGTAATAGGTGTATTTTTTGGTTTTACCAACTTTCCTTTCTCAGTAATATTTAACTTGTATAAGTTTGTATAAACAGACAAATATTATGGAAGATCTTAGTAACTAGAGGACTATTAACAGTTTCCAGGCACCACTAGCCCTTTCAGAGAAGCAGCAATTTCCTCAGGAAGAGCTGAGAGCAGCTCCAGCAAGACTAGTATGGAATATTTCCACCAATACCAACTGACCGTTCCGGCCAGAGTGTCCAGACTGCTAATGCCCTGTGCTGCAATTTGTATTAGATGGCTTTAAAGATCACTGTGCAGACTTTTCTTTTTGGTAACAGAAAGTTTGTTTACACTGTCTTGTTCTGTTTTCCACTTATAATTCAGTGTAAAAGGCACTGGAGGGAGCTTAGGCAGGGTTGAGGAGGTAGAGGATAAAGTAGAGAGATGGCAGTTGAACTTCATTTGGGCTAGTCCTGGCTAGGCAAATTTCTGTTTGCTTTTTTTGAACACTGACCACCTAATAGGAACCGAGCTTGCATGTACTGAAGCAGCTAGTCTTGTATGTTCTTTTTTTTCCAAGTTTTGTGTTGGTTTTTTTTTTCTTTTGCTGCCACCTCTTCATTCTCTGTCTGTCCATACCAGCTTGTTTCTTGCAACCTCTCCCTGCATTCTTTTCAATCTTCCAGTCTTTCATTCTTTCCTCTTCCTTTTCAAATTCTGTCTGTACCTCATCCTGTACTTCTGTAACCCAGGATTGTCATCATCTTTTATAGCTCAGAGAACAAAGAAATTCAAAGTGCTATGACTGTGTCCCTAATCTATGTGACCGTATAATCTTTTCGTTCATCTCACCTCCCTTTTTGGTTTCTTTACTTGTGGTGGATTCTTAGCATATGGAGGACATGCACTGAAGACTCAGGGTTACTTTCAGGGGGAAAAAAATTAAATCCTTATTTTTTTTTCCCCCCTTGCTGTAGAATTATTAGCATCTAGTTGAATTTAAGACTGTTTTAGAGGTTTTTTTTTTAGGACAACCTTTCCTCTGTCAGAACCAAATATATCTACTGGAAAATGTTGCTCATTCTCTGCTGCAGCAGCGACGATTATACACTAGAGAAGATAGAAAGCATTAATCCAGAACAGAAAAGTGGTTTGAAAGCAGAGTGGTCATGCTGCAGGCAGTGCCTTACCTTCTGCTGCTGTTTTGCTGACAACAAAGAGAGAACAGGACAGTGATAGTATTTGTCTTATTAAATATTTTAGAATATGTAAATATGGCAGAGATTATCAGGTATTTGAATCATGAACTGTATATTTTATCAGGATTTTAAGAGAGGGCTCTTTTAGCATATTTTTAATTATGATCTTGCACTATATTCATTTGAAATCGAGGTAATAAGTGACAAAGTTGACATAATAAACTGTTTTAAAAATTCAGTGCAAACTAGTTTTAGTTTCCATGTGGAAACTGTAATAGATTTTCAGTATCAGTTCCCAACTGCTATAAATTGGCTATGAAGTATTCGGATCTAGGTGAAGAAAAGCAGGAAGTATACTACAACAAATAAATCTCTTCATTCCTTATATTTATGTTGAAGGACTTCCACCAAATAAAAATATTTATTTTTCTCTTCTGATTTTGAAAACAGAGATCTGACTATGCTATTTAGTAAAGGGAGAAGAACAAATAATAATAATAATAATAATGTGTTTTGCCTCAGATTTTCATCTGTCACTCAGATACTAATAATCACAGCAAAATAACACTAAGGATGATTACTTCTTAACACAATATGTTTCCCCTTTGTATGCAGCTACAAATAGCACACATTTTGCAACACAATCCTGCAAAATGGGTTTCTACCTAGTTTTCTAGCTGCTGTTGTTCTAGCTCTCTTTAGAAAGTTTCTCATATCAAAATGATTTTGTCTTAACTTGGAACCTAACATTTGCATTTGAATAATAAAGAATTGTGGTGTTTGATTAAGAAGAAATCTTTGTCACTACTCATGTTCTCCTAGGAGAATATGATAAGCCTTGATAGAGCTATTTTGTGGAAGGAGCAAGATCTAATTGATCAATTGGAATTTCTTTTGGAGCAACAATGTTTTGGCAAATGTGATAGTTGCCTTCCTCAAAGTGAACAAAATAACTCTTTCTCCTGCTTTTCTGTCTGAAGATGTGCTCCAAATGAATACAGTCCAAAATGATATAAGCAGATTTTAGTGAAAGAGATTACTTTAAATTGCAGTCATTAAAGATGATTTTGAATCAGCCTTTGCAATGTAGTGCAAATATCCATCCCTTTCAGTGTGCTTTTGCTCAGTGAAATACAACGTTAAAAGAAGTAGAGGTCCATCAAAGTGACACAGTTGACGCATGCTATTGGGGCGAACCTGAATTGAAAGGTTTGCAGGACTAGGGTGACACATTAAGACTGCAGTGGAGCTTACGAAGAGATGTTCGTGTAGCAGCTCTGTGGTTCTTTGCTTTACATACATGTATGGGGTTTTTTTACATTAGTTGGTTCTTGGTTTGATATTTTTTGCAGCTATGTACTTTTAATTTTAGACAATGATTTGTTTAGCTACATAGATTATCTCGAAAGTATTCATTAAAGTGACGTAGGGTCACTGATGTGCCACTGGAAGCGAGCTGGTCAGCATATGTGACTTTATGGATCTGAATCTTGGAGAAATAAATTCTTGTCTGTTCTGTCAAAGAACACATTGGTATAAATTTGCAACCTCAAAGCAAATTGTATTATTAAATTCTTCAAATTCCCATTCTGTAAATATGTGTTCATAGTGGAAATTAATAGGTAGCAGAAAGTACAGAATTTCTTAGATGGCAGCTATAAAGATAGAAAACTAGCCAAGAATAAAAAGAATATGTAGCAAAAATAAAAGGAAACTACCTTTCTGTTTTTCTTCTGTGCTCCACTCCACAAAAAAATAAATTCCAGAGAAAGGAAAATTCAAAATCTAATTAATTGGGTAACTGCACACTTAATGTTGGTTAATTCTCTCTTTTATCTGTTTTCAAACTGAATCCCAAGGCATGTGTTTTCACCTCTGTAGTTAGACCAGTTCTGTAAATGCAGATCCACTTTCTCGCAAGCTCTTCTGATTTGGGGAGCAAGAAGAAAAAGACAAGAATCTGCCTGGATCTATTATTGATGGAACATATTTCTGAATAAGTAACATTTGCCCAAGCTGCCGTGGGACAGGATTTCATCAGGCTATTTAAGCTTTCACTGAACTTAGTTAACAACTCTTGTAGGTACAAGGTTCAATTACAGCTTTGCTTGTCTGCATCTATTCTTCTTCTCGTAAAGCAAGCATTTGGTTGTAAGTCATATATTTAGAGAACAACTTCTGTGGACAGCCAGTGTCTAAAATGGGAAACATTTAATTTAACACTCTTTTCTGTGTACATTTCCTGTTAAAGACCCAGATGATGTGTAGAAATACAGCAAATATATGGAGTAGTGTCTTCAAGTAGGAGAAGCAAATCCTAGGCAATTGCTTTCCTTTTTTTTCAAAATGAGCCAGCCATGCCTTTACTTTTTAGCGAGCAGCAAAAAAAGAGCATATGGACAGTAGTTTGTATGAAGTATGAGGCTCTTTTGAAATCTTTTCAATAAAACATAAATTTAGAAGCTTCTAATGAGTTTTTTCCAAACATTTTTCCAAACTAAGTTGAGTATATGGGATCTGAGGCTATGAATTTTCTCAAAAACTTCAGTTTTGGTTATTAGAGTTGGTATTGCTGTTATTTTTGCTGTAATGTGTGTGAGCACTGTCCAATCTGTGTAACATGAACACTAATAACACATTTTATGCAAATTTGTCTGGGGCTTGTTGTTGTGGTAGCTTTTTGGGGGTGACAGTGTTGCATGTTTTTCGACTGTATTTTTGGTAGCTGAAGTTAAGAAGAGCCTACAGGACTGGCAGTTTGGGGCAGATGTGTGTCTATTCCTCAGGCATCAGTGGTTGTAAGTTAACTATAAAAATGTTACAACCATCTGTGTAACAAGACGGCAGAGATCTGCTCTTGCCTGTTACTATAAATAAGAAGGAGATTTGTTTGACTTCATAGACATTGGATTTATAAAGACTATATGTGTCAAATTGTAACTACGTGCCATGTTGCTGAGATGTGTCTGCAGCCAACTACCTGGGGTGTCTTCCCCTTCAGACATTCTAGTGTAATGCAGCAACTGTGCAGAAATGTCTGTACAGCACAACATGTGACAAATTATATTTGTTTTCTACCTATAGGGAAATGTATGATTCTTATGGATAAGCTTATCTGGAAGAGTAGCTAAAATGGATTCTTAAATGGACCACTCAAGGAGGTTGAGAGAAAATGTGACATTCAGTTTGACAATGGTTTTAAAGGTTTTTCCCACCATTAAATTTATTTTTTGTTGTCGTTACTAAGTGATAGTGTATCAGAGATAGTGTATGCATGAGAGAACACACATATGAGAACTGAGACATATATATATATATACACACACACATATATATTGAGAACATACCAGCAGTTTCAAGTAACTGATACATAAAATCACATTAGCT